CTTCTCTCTCATTTTCTTTCTCTCTTAAACAAAAAGTATTTCCACCGAAAAGAAAGAGAAAAAGGTATTTTTGCAACATACAGAAGGAGTGAAATAGGACACTTCAGCTTCATAGAAAGAGGCAATGTGAAAATAGTCTGAATTCTAACAACCTGCATGAGGAAAACTATGAACTATAGAATGGCAATTAAGTTAATTGTTACCTTTACTTCTCAAAAAAAATCTGCTCATTTCATAGAATTGCCAGGCTTCTATCCCTGAAGCTTCAAGAAAAACCCAACCCATCGTCTTCCAGATTTATTAGTATTACTATGTAGACAAAGTCCCTGGTAGTACAGAAAATGACAATGCAACCTATTATTTTCAGGATAAACCAGTTTTCAATCTAATTACCATGTTCTTCTAAAAATTCTGTATGTTACTAAATAATAGGGCTCACTATCGTGGTCTGCATCTCATAAATGGCCCTGCAGAGAAAAGGCAAACAGAGGCCCATTGATTCCCATGCACAGAGCCCAAAAGGCCACTCCAGCAGTCTCTTTGCAAGATCAAGACCACAGAGAGACCTACAATTGCTGAATTATACTTACCACCACACCATCAAATATGTAAACTGAAGGGGAACATTAAATCCACTTGATCATTACAATTCCTGGTTTTTCTTTACTTTGTTTTTGGTTCCTTTCTTTTTCCACATCAGCCAAGAAGTCTACTTTGTCTCCTTTGGCTTGCAATCAACTTTGCCCTCTCGTTCTGTAACTTGTAGATATTGGAAAATACCTAAATTTGTTAAAAAACAACCTGAACCTAAGAAAAACAGTGGAGCCAGTTCTAGCTGGTTTAGTATTTCTAAAAACAGTGTTATGTCAAAATTCACATTCCCTGCTACATCTGAGTTGACAATGTCCCTTGTCAGAACAAAAATCTCTTGGTAGCAATGCTAATCTCCTTCCAAGTGCCACTCCAACCTCAGCCCAGCTTTGACTCAAAAAAATGCTGCATGATAACAGTTACATAAAAACCCGCAAAAATGTGTTAATAATAAATAAGCCAAAAGGCTTATAAAACAAAAAGCCAAATGGATACATGAGATAGAAATCACATTTTTTTCCCCATAAACATGATTTCAGTGCAAAAGCCTCTGTTGGTAGGCGTGCCAGCCTGAAAAATAAAGATTAAACACGCAGAATGTTTCCATGTGAGGTTTCAAATGTGTTTTGATGAATTTCTGGGGGAGAAACACCATCTCTGCTCCCTGAGAGATTCAGGAGAAACCACCCATGCTATTCCTCTTAGAATAAACACAGGGACAGCAAAGGGTTAACCCCTGCTCTCAGGCATCATCGCCTGGCTGGGGTTGGAGCTCTCTGCTTCCTCCCTCGGAAGGGTCAAATGAATTCTCAATAGTTGATTCATGGCCCAGTGTGGAGCTGCAGGACAGAGGTCAGACAGGTTCAATTGCCTGTAATTTGCACAACTGCTCCCATGCTAGCCCTGGACTCACAGCAGCATTCAGCAGCCAGAGCCCCCTGGGATCTCCGTGTTTGGGTGCACTGATAACGCCCTGTGCAATGTCAGAGGTGCATTTCTGTCCGGCTTTTCCTGCAATTATCATGATGTTGCTCAGAGCTTGAGAATGACACATTAATTTCTCTAAAAGCAACTTGTCTGCCTCACAATAAAGGCCACTGTGTAACCTCTTAGGTGGGCCAAAGCTCTCCCAACACTGCAGCTTCCCAGCTGGAGACAGGCAGCATGCCTGGCATGGCAGAGCACACTGGTACAGCCTGCAAGATAAGCATTCGCAGGGATCAGACATTTGGAATGACATTTGCAATGGGAAAGATGAACAGAAAGCACCATGGCAAAACACTTTGATCCCTTGCATATTCCAGGAGAAAATTCTGTAACTTGGATATGAAGGAGGATCTAGTGAAGGGTCTTGAGAGATTCATTAATCACAGAACCATAGAATGGGTTGGGTTGGAAGGAACCTTAAAGTTCATCCAGTTCCAACCCCCTGCCATGGGCACCTTCCACTATCCCAGGCTGCTCCAAGCCCTGTCCAGCCTGGCCTTGGACATTTGTTCCCTATTCCAACAGGAGCCCAGGCTAAAAGCCTGATTCACAGCTTCATAAAGAGGTGACACGCACTAGAAAATCATACCCAATATTGAGGTTACAGAACCACATCCTGATTATACATCTTGGAGGTCACAGATTACAACAGACTATCATAAACTAATTTTTTAGTATATTAAAATGTAGAAGGAAAGCAGAAAGGAATGTAGAGGTTTGGTGTATGTAAAGCTGAGCCTTGCTCATATGTTTTAATTTCTGTTCTGTAAATTTGGAGAAGAACAGCTGCAGGATAGCTGGTTTGGCAAACAGAGAGCTACAGTTTTGTTCTAAGGCATCTGAGTTATCCTTAAAAACAAAATGGAAGAAGAATTTTTGGGATGCAATCTCAAATATTCATATATATGGACGAATATTCATGGATTAACTATCTTGTTGGACTGGTGTGGGAGGCCCAGCCACTGCCAAGTATTGAGGGACTTGATTCCCTGTGAAAGCAAAGATCACATTCCTTCAAAAAATTGGACTTTGATGCTACTAAAGGAGAGCTCTTACTGCACAGAAATTTTCTGCAGTTTCTCAAAAATGTTGAAATTTTGGAATTATCTAACCTCTCAAGTTTGTTCTAAACCAAACTGCATGGCATTTTTGAATGTAGGGCCTCTAGTTTGCCTGATATAATTATGTAGCCCAACTATCTCCAAAGAAATATTGTAATATAACTCTCTTATTATATAAGAAAATAGGCAGCAGACACATGTAATCATAAAAAGATTGAGAAGGCTCATTTCCTGAAGTTTATTTCCTTTTTGTAACAAATATTTACTGTCAAATGTTTATTGCTTTTACATTTGGATTTTTTTAATACTTTATTGAATTAAAAATACCACATTACCATTGGCTAAAAGAGGAGACAGCTGTATTTGCCAATAATTTCTACAGCTAATGCCAGTGACCAGTGCCAATTTTTTTTTTGGTTCATATTTTTGTAGACAGCTTTGAGACTTATGATACAAGTATTCTGCAGATGAGGCCTGAGAAACACAAAGGTGAAAAGAACACAAACTTCAGAGGTTTAAAAATCAAAAGTGATTATTTCCTCTAAAGAATTTCCTTTCCCTGCCATCAAACCCCAATTCAGAGTAGCATAACAGGATGTAAACAAATGTTTAAACTAATGGCATGTGGCACAACTGATCCACAGCTTCACAGGTGAATGCTAATTCTTACTGCACAACTGCAACAGAAATAATTCTAAATAAGGGACTGCAAATTAGTTTTTATCTCCTGAAGTTCTACCAGGCTTTTCATTAGGAAGCACTAATGTCCTCACAAAATATGCTTCTCTTTTGGGAGAAAGGAGAGATGGAGAAAAAGAGCACGTTTTTTATTGTGTTCTAATGTCAAATAATTAGACTGGTGGAAAATCTTGGGAGCTATAAACACCTTCTGCCTGTATCTCACAGAGAATGGTGCCCCTTGACACATTATTCTGGCAAACAACAAGTCCCTGAAGCAGTTCCAGACTGGACATGCAACTCCTGTGTGAGAAAGGCTGACCACCTACCAGCGGGCTGACATTCTCATCAGGCACTGGAATACCCAGAAACAAAATGGATTTTTATCACAACAAGGGAAATAGCAAAAATCTCTTCCAAGAGCAGTCCAGCTGGGTGACACCCACACAAGTGGAAGAACTTGAGTCATGCTGGGTAGATCTGAGGTTTTCTTTACAGGCCTATATTCTAACACTTTGCTTCCAGTACAGTAGTCCTGGTGGTCTGCATTTTCTTGATGGAGCTGGGAAATACAACCTGTCCAGATTCTTTTCCTATTGTTTTATATTAGCTAGTTTCCAAGTCCAAAATAAATAAAAAAGCTAATGCGAAACTAAGAGCATTTTCCCAGGACTTGCATGTGTTCCACAGTTTTAGTAATTTAGCATTTAGAAACATCAGTTATCTCAGATTATTATTTTCTTTCTTAACACTGATTTAAGATCCCAAGCTTGTTCAGAGTGGGAATGAGGGACAACTGAAAAACACAAATGGTCAGTTATTAAAAGCAAGAAACCTGTCTGCTTCTTGCCTGTCTGTAGAGGAGGGGGTGCTGCCAGCTGGTCCTGGTGACCCAACAGAGCTTCATGATTTTTTTTGGATATCTCCAAGGCCACACTGGAAGCAGGCACTACCCCACTCCCTGTCTAAAACAGGGGATAAGATCTGCTCAGAATTAAAAGATCTGATTATGTGTAAGAACTTATGAAAAGTTTGGCTGTCTAAATTCTAGAGGATGAGTCCAACAGCTTCATCTCAAGCACAATCTACTTCTAGAGACAGCAACAAGTAAAGTTTCCATTTTGCCAACCAACTCACTGATACCCCACTCTGCACCCAAATCCTGATTAAACAACATGTTGCTTAGAAAACACACAGGATTCTACATAGAATTCAGTAAGGCCTCATGAAACAAGCAGACATCTATATTTCCTCAGCAGAGAGTTAAGAGTCAGCTCCTGTAAACACTGCAGAGGTCTGAAGGTGAAGTCTGTGAACACCCAGCCAGCCATCTAAGCTGACTCTCTGGAAGTAGCCAAACACTCTTGTGAGGAGAGACATTCACCTCAGCTGAACTTCCAGGAAAACAATCTCTACAGAGCATTTCAGCAAAACAATCCCAAAAGGGAACAAAGTGCAAACACCAGTTTTTCTGAGTCTGCTCTGGGAGATTACCAAGGGCGGTGTGGGGAAAGGAGGATGAGGCCTAAGCAGGAGCTGCTGACACGGAGCTCGAGGCCGTGGGATTTTCCACCAGCAGCGCTGAAACTGAGGGGAATACAGACTCCTTTTCTCTTCCCCAGGGCTTGGCAGCTTTATTTCCACTTCCCACCTTGTTTCCAGTGACAACCCACGAGCTCTTACCTCCATGTTCTTGCAGAAGGTGGCGTTGGTGCCAAAAAGGATCTGGCACTGCTCGTCGGCGCTGTAGTGCATCCCCGGCAGCTTGTGAGGGAGCCGCACGGAATATTGGCTCCGGGGGTCTGTCAGCAGCAGGCAGGTGCTCACCTTGGACCTGGGCAGGCAGGAAAAATGCCCTTTAGGGAAAGCCCCTCAGGGGATTTTCCCTGGAAGTCTTCTGAATCATTGAGAGCTATGGATAGAAAGGGCCTTGGGAAGTCACCCATGGTCCCAGGCCTCAAGGCAGGACCGACGACATTCACAACATTCTGGGCTAAACATCTGTCTAAACCAACATTCACAACATTCTGGGCTAAACATCTGTCTAAACCAACATTCACAACATTCTGGGTTAAACATTTGTCTAAACCAACATTCACAACATTCTGGGTTAAACCGTTCCTAGAAATCTGAAGGAGACTCAATTTGGCCCTCAGGCAATCCAGCCCAAAGCTTCACTCTCTTGAAATGACAGCTAGAAAGTCTTCCATAGTCTCTCACCTCAATCCCCCCCAGCTGAATTCTGAGCCCTTGACATTTTTTCTTATCCAACACAGGCATAAAAAGATTCTTCTCTTTGCCTTCACAACAATCTTTTATAAATTGGAATATCATTGTCATATCAGGGGCCAGATGCAACCAGATGAGTTCAGATGCAATTTCTTTTTCTAATTCATGCCTTTAATATGGCATTAAAAATCCCATTTTCTTTCATTATTTTCATTTCTTTCCTACCTTTAACCCCCAGAGTGGGAAATTTTCCATGCTGAACCCACTCCTAGCACAAAGCACTGTGCCAGGCACTGTTTGTCAGAGAGCTGCAATGTAAGTTTAATATTAGAACTGCAGAGTTCAGACAATTCCAGTGCTTCCTGTAGTACATGAGATTTAACAAGAGAGGACAGAAATCCTTCCTGAACAACTGAATATAATGAGTTAAAACATGGATGCAGTGGGGAAGAACTTTATAGTGAACTGTTTTAGACCAACACTCATTAAGGCATGAGAAAACACATCAGAATGGCCTCCAGGCAAAGTCAAGTTTCAATAAAATAAAAGCTATTTAATAACAAGACAATAAAAGCCATGGCATAAAGCTGCAGCATCTTTAAGCAGAGATTTCTGCAAGCCACCTACACAAAGATTTCTGTAATTGCAAAATTGAAAGGCATTTTCTGTAAAAAAAGATATGGGATTTTTTTTTTTAAGATGTTATCAGCACATTGACAACTGCAAATAATTCTTCTGCCTCTCTTCAATCCTCAGTTTCAAGGTGCTATTGCAATGGAGACAGATTCAAAATGTACAGTTCTTTAAAAGGAAAATCATTACTACTTTCACTTTAAAGCAAAAGAGTGGATTCTTGCCTGGTAGGATTTTTGACACTCAGCACAATCCTTACTTTAGGAAGTTTTCCAGGTCGTCTCGGCTGCACGAAGACCAGGAAAGGTCGCTTGGGTTCCTGCCCTTCACCCATTCTCCAGACATGATGTGAGACCTCCCAGCACAAGGCTGATGATCATCATCGTGGCTCATCCCCATGCTGTTGGATTAGAACAATAGAAGAGAAAAAAAATCTATCAAGTTATGATGTGGGTTTCTCATTTCCCACTGCCCTCAGCAATGACACTCTCAGCAATTAACAGCTGGACAACAGGCTGCACATACACCACACAATCTGCCATGCACTGCCCTGGGCACCTGTTAAATAAATGAACTAGAGGTTCCTTTCATTTATCCATTGCTTTAATTTCACAAAGTATTTGGTATTTGTGTGTTTAACTTTTAAATGTGCTTCTTATGGACCTTCCTCCCAGGGTTTATGAGAAGTGAATCTGGAGAAGCGATGTCGTTCAGAGAAGGGTATCTGCTGGAATATTTACTGAAAATTTTGGACTGCTTTGCCAAATCTAGTGGATAGGATCCCTACAATTACAGTGAGAGAATGATCTAGAGATAGGCCTACTTTGTTCTTGCATCAGTGTGAATTTGGAATATACTATTAGGAAAAACATTTTTCTAAATTAGTGGTATTGTACAATCATCTAACTTTGAGGCTGATCCTTTTTTGAGTGGTGGGTTGGATCAGATGATCTCTGGTGGCCCTTCTGACCTAAATTAGGCTCTCACTCTGTAATACCAGTTTTTTTACTGGAGCCTGAGGCAAAGCCAAGCCCCATTTCTGCAAGCACTGTCCAAACAAGCACCAAGACTGCCCCATGCCCATCTCAGCAAGGACAGAATGGGACCTACTCAGCAAAACAAACCATCTAAACAAACAGCAGATTGTGCTGTATAAACACATAGAGGAATTCAAACACATTCAGTGAGGATTTGCAAAAGTACTTAGAAACAGAAATGTGTTACTTCAACCTCCATCACACTTGCCCCTCAGGACCCTTCTATCAATTAGAGGAGTCTCCACCATTGGACTGCTACAGCAGGTGCAGGTTCAGGTTCAGAATAATTCCCTGTTGCCATTTACAAGAAGGTGAGATTCTGCTGCAGGTAAAACTTTGTGAACAGGAAAAAATGGTGTGACCAAGGTCGCCTGCTACACTCAGTCCTACACTCAGCCCATCACAACAACCTGCCTGGCAATGAAAGTGAGTTAAGGATTTTCCATCCTACTTCAAAATGAACATGAAAATCCTTTCTCAGAATCACACAGAGTAATAACTCCTTAAAAAAGTAACATTCCTCCTTCAATTCCAAAGTGAAATGGAAAATGACTTTCAGAAGAAAGGTGCTTTCTATGGCCAGTGTCACCTTCCAGTAAAACATCACAAATTTGGGGCTGAAAATACAGAATTCACTGGGTTTCCAGCTGGCTGGCTGGAGCAAGCCAGGAGCAGTCCCTTTAAATATGCACTGTTTAATCCATGCTATTTCCCTACAAATCTGAGGCTCCTGTTTGCTTTCTGACTGTGCTCTTGGCTTTGCTTCTCCCAGTCGTGGGACTTGACTGTTCAGAGCCCAAACACGACATCCATTTCTAGTAGCAATGAACCAAAACCCACATCAGCACTTTGATAATTATGGCTTAGATTGAACCACCATCTCTGCTATTTTTAGCTTATAGTGAAGATTATATGGTGGAGTCTATTATTTTAGGTTTATCTCCAGGGACATTATTATTATTTCTAGCAAAACTACGTTGAATGTAATTTTTAGACTCAGAAGTTCATAGTTATTCTTGTTTTTAAACCTTTGTGGTTTTTGAACACTGCAGAAACATTAACATCAAGCACATTTTGTTTGATGCACGCAGGAATAATCTAACAGTCTATTAGTAACTCTAACTTCAAAACAGTAGAGTGAAATTCCTGCTCCACTGAAGTGAATGGGAGTTTTGCCATTGACTTCAATGGAGCCTGGGTTTCACTCCAAATATTTTACCCGTGTTGTTTCTACACACAGAGAAAACTCCTCACATGAAAGGATGCTAGGATGAAAGTTCTAGCAGTATTTCTCCAATGCAAATAAGCCCATCTAAAGACTGTGCTCCTAAAAGTCAGGAAAAGAAGGGCTCAGCACCATGAAGCAAGGGATGTGAACTTGTCAGGAATCTTCCAGAACAAAGTTTGCCCCAAAATGCCAGTTTGAAGGCTCATGGGCATGCAGCAATCCTGTTAACTTTTCTAAGGGAGACCAGGCAGGTTTCCAAGGTTTCTTGCAGCTTGTCTGCCTTGTGACTGCCACAGTGCTGAGACTCAAAGCTGGGTCCTATTTGGGTTTCTACTCTGTTTCTGTGGAATGGGATCTGGCAGCCCCCTGAATGCTCTCCTGGTCAGCACATCAGGTCTTCCATCTCAAAAGCTGAAAGCAAATCATCTTCCTGACTTTGCAAGTGCTTTAGGATCCCTGATTTTATCCCTTCCAGAATAGACTAGTGTTTAGTCTAGGGTTTTTAATTAAGAAATGCTTTAGCTTTCTGATTAAGTTCAATTATTTTTTGTCAAAAATGTTGAAAGTGAGGTTTTGTTGGAAAAAAACAAGCGTAGCACTTACTAATTAGTACATTTCTGTCATTAACTTTATTTTAAACCTGATCTCATGAAAGATGTCTTGCTTAAGACAAATGCTGAGGCTGCCAGTCTTTACTCAGCTTTTATTTGCAGGGGGTTTGAGACAGATAAAATGTAATCTCTATAAAGAATTAATCAGAACTCACAAAGCTGTTATTTACAGGCTTCTTCTGAAATTCATTCAATTCTTACATGTGTGGTAATCTACCCATTTCTGAATCATTCCTGTTTTCTTAACAGAAATTCTTTTAAAAGTCACAAGCATAAAGAAATTGAGCCTGAAAGGAATGCTTTTATTGGTATAAAGCAAAAGAGCTTTGCCAGTTTATTTTAGTTTGGGATCTGGCCTCAAGGTACACAGGCAACCCCTCCTGGCCTCTCAGTGATGAGTTTCTGGTAGAATGAAACCAGCAACACCTTTGGAGCCTGTTTTAATTGGCAATGCAGAACTTTTCTCAGCATCTACTTTACTTTACAATGACTCACTTGAGAAACTGATTAAATGACCTGCAGGACTAAGGCATACCCTAGTATGCTAACACATTCTTTTCTGAAGTTCAAGGGTCCCCAGCTACATCAAAGAGACCAGGTTTTCCTAAACAAGCAGTAAATGCAATGCCATGCTGATTCTTTTCACTAATGAACAGTCCCTCTCCTTTTAACAGAAAAAAAAAAAAATGGGACACAGCAGTGTGTGTTTGTACTAAACACCAGTGCAAACTGAATCAATAGTTTACATTTCATTTGTGACCATCTAATCTTACCTGCTATTCAGAATTCACGTGGGATTAGAAGCAGGTAATCAGTCTGTTGAAATATTCTGCCTTGGGAAGTTCTATTCTTACATGAACTGATCTTGAACAAAGAGTTGATAAGAAAAGCTCTTAGATTAGAAGTAGCAATGTCAAAATGTCACTGCACTGCCCTGTGTGCTCCCTGAGACATAAATGTCCATTTTATCAGAAGCCACAAACAGATGCTGCCTGTTAGTCTTTACAAAGCCAGCAGAGCCATTATGGATGAGCAGGACTCAGTTTCCCTTTGTGCTGTTTACCACCACAGTCACTTTTCCATCCCAACCCCACAGGAAACTTCAGCCTTTCAGCTCATCGCAGTCTCCTCCTAAAGACAATGAGATTCCACAAAGGCAAGCAAGGACAGCTCAGACTGTCAGCTCTTCAACTGCTTTCATTCAGTGTTTACTCAGAGTAGGCACCCTGGGATTCTGGTTTCACACTCCAGCTTCTTTCCTAAGATAAATAATGCATTGCTTACCAGCCAGACACCACGGCCTCACTGGAGGAGTCCTGCAGCACATTTACTGTGGCTCACCATGTGTGAGGCCAGAAACAAGCTGACTGACCAGTGTGAGCCCTGTTAACATAATCACAGCAAGGCAAATCTGATCAGGAGTCACAGGGAGGAAGCAGCAACAGATCTCTTTGATGCAGTTTTTTTGGAGAGCAAGGCTTTAAAGTAGCATTGCTATGAATAAAAAATAGCATGCAGTCTCTGGGAGCTCTGGCCTCCCTGAAGCCAGTGCAGCAATCAGAACTGGGTCAGGATGCCAGAACTACACTCTGGGCCTGAGCTAGCCAATTTCTTGTGTAATTCTTTTAAGTTAAACTCAATTATAAGCCCTCTGTTTTCCCACAGCAATGCTGAACGAATGCACTTGCTTTCTTTGTTTGGGTCATTCGTGGAGTTTCTCCTCTAGACAGTTAATGTAACTAAACTGCTCTGTTTACCCTTGGTGTGTTTTCCAGTGTTTCCTGTTTTTCTTCACAAACCTGAGCCAAAGTGCACCAAAGCTTGTAGAAAGCCTCCTACTGCATCCAATGCACTGCTGCACCTCAATGTTCTTGAGTCATGTACAAAAATCTTCACCAGCACCACTATGACTATCAATAAAAATCCCAAATGTGAGTTAGAAGATAATGCCAAGGGCTGGGAGAAACTGATTTAGGAGATGCTTGAAAAATCTTTTCAACAGCTGCAACTCTGGCTGGTAAGAGACAACTGGACAAATCCCCAGGACTGTAATCATTCACTCTCCCTTATCAGGGAGACACATGAAGCTGGGACAAGAGGCAAGTTTGATAGAAAATAGCAGCAGCAGCAGCACTTTTCTTCAGAAAAAGGGTAGCAACTGAAAGAAAGAAAAATTAAGAAGGGAAGCCTGAAAAAAAGACACCCATGAGGAAATGCTATGAAGTAAGACTACCTCTATCACCTCCTTCTGAAAGGCAAACCATTCCATTTGCCTACAAATCACTCAGCTTGAGTCAAATGCTGGATCACTTTAGAAACTCATGGCTATCAAGGCTACCCAAGGTGTCCTGGCTGTCACCTCAGCTGCTTATTAAACAGGCATGACAAACAATTGATTGCTCTCCACACAACTGCACTTACCTCAGCCACCACTTCTCCAAAGGGCAGCTGCCAAGAAGGAAATGAGGACAGTGGGCTGTCTCTCACTCCCACAGACAGAAATCCAAAGCAGCCTTTCCAAAGA